GTACTAAATAAAATCATCTTCTGACCAATCATTGGAAATAGAATTGTATTCATCACTTTCCGAGTCACTAAATATTGCTCTTCTCTTGTTTTGTCTTCCACTGTATGAATCACTGTCATTTTCGCTATCAATTTTCCACTTCTAATAACAGGTCAGCATGTATTTCGTCATCGTAGAATACTTGAAAAGATATATTTTGATACTTGAATTAGGCAATTGCTCCGTTCTTTGATGCCAAAACTTCCGAGGAAAAGAATTTCAATGAAGGACGATCTGCTAAATTGGGAGAGGACTGGTTGAAACCAATATTCTTTGATCATCGAATATTGGTCTGCAACGATGTGTCTATATAATCAAATGCCTATATGAAGCATCATCATTGACGAAAATAAATCACGTATACGTGACGGTGGCCGATAACAGTTGGCAAAGTTTGGTCACACGAGCGCAACAGCGGCCGACAATGTGTTAAAGCGCAAAAAGTACCACTGCATTTCCTAAGCTCCGTCATTCTAGCGAAGTTGGGTATACCTCTAAGTTCCGGCTCCTTAATATTCTGGGGATCCAAGGTGTTGGACCCCAGTATTGTCTGTCTGTAGTAGCTCAGAGCCTTGCTGCGATAAAGGATGTGCACCGAGGAATCATCCTCTAGCCTGCAACGCTCACACAAGGGCATCCCTTGCAGGTGGCACTTCATCGTTTTATGGCCAGACGACATTCCCACAAACTACCTTAGGTTGGCTCTGTTCAAAGATGAGCAAAAGCGACCATGTTTAACATCAAGCCTAAAGATAAGCTCCCGTGCCTGACAGAGATGTCTAGAGACACTTCTCCATTTCAGAGGGTATTATCTGTTATCCTCCAGACTCAGAGCGGCATCCCAAGCACTGGCTCGGGACCAGCAAGCTTTTCCGCTGATACTGGTTTGGCGAGAGCATCCTCCATGTTATTAGCATTACCCTTTATCCCAACCTGCTCCGGTACCCACACTAACGACACCAGGTGCCTCGCTGCAAAACTATCCAGGGACTTTCGGCATTGTAAGGCTCGAAGTAATCTTACAAGCACTAAGGGCCTTCGTCGCAGTCTAGCAGTCGGAGAAGATTGCTATTCTTCTCCTAGGCCCTTCACTCTCCAGAACGCGCTACACGCAAGCCATACTCGCATACATTTCCGCTTGTACAATAGTAGTGTATCTGCCGAGAGGCGGTAAAAGCCTAGTTCTCGGACCGAAGACTCCAGCGTCAGCGCCCTCTTCAGTCACCGAGTCGTTCGACCGGACTTGCGCACTTCCGGAAATCCCACTCCATCCTCATCGAATACTTCACCTTTAACTTGATCCTTGACAGAATTCATAAAGGTCCAGCTGCCCCAAGACCACAGTCGACGTGCGACTACTCTCGCCATTCAGAAGTTCACTAGATCCAGCATTGCGCTTCTAAAACCGGAAACTTCACTTGTGAGTCCGTTCTGAAATACCTGAGGTGACCCTCGCCTTTCTGTAACTAGGGCAAATTGTACGGTCACCGCAAAATTGAATATTTGCTGGATACCCTGTTATTTTGTATTGCCTTTAACAAAAGACAACAGACGATCTGCTGTACGAGTAGGGTTTGACAAGATAGTGGACTACGTCGACGGACCCCAATCAGAGCTGTTTAAATAGATCAGGAGCTCAATTCATAGTCGGGATCGATTCAGGCACAATATACTCAGAGATATTAAAGTGTTACGCTCAGAGAAAATAGTTTCTTCAACTTTTTTTTGGGCAACATAATGACTATATTTGAAGCAACCTGTGGCAACAATGTCAAAGTTTCATCTTTGTTTTTATTTACCTTTGTTAAAATGTTATCTCTTAGTTAGACGTCCAAATTATGAGCATGTTAGCGACTTTGACAGGGGTGGACTTATTCCCTATCGAGATGTTATTTTGTACTGCCGCGAAATTGGCCGCCGTCTTAATAGTACTGCAATGACAGTAATGCGTGTACGTCGTGTGTGGATATAAGAAGGTAGAGGAACACGAAAATGGACAACAAGTCCACCGAGGCATACCACAGAGCGTCAAGATAGGCGCTTCAGTCAACTAGAATTACGAGACCGTTTTGCTACGCGATAGATCGCTTACCAATGGTTTGGCCAAGAAGGTATCCCCGTTACTGTCGCCGCATTCGAGCTTTTAGACTTTTTTCATACCGTCCACAGTTAGTGCTTCCTCTGACTGCGGACCACTGTCGTTAACGCTTGAACTGGATCAGAGAACGGCAACATTGGGAGGCAGAATGACATAATGTCATCTTCAGCGACGAGTCGCGATTCTTTCTAGGTACGCACTATGGTCGTAGAAGGGTAAGACGCCGCCGTGGAGAAGGACGTGATATTGTATATGCTGATGACAGGTATGTACACAGGACTGATGGAGTAATGGTTTGGTGGCCTATTGCCTATAGTAGCCGATCGCCACTTCTCTTTGTTCAAGGCAATATGACTGCTGCGCGTTATGTTGATGCTGTCCTACAAACCACCTTACGGCCGTATCAAGATGGCCGTCCAGCAGGACAATGCACGTCCCTATATTGCTCGTCGTACTCCAGACTTTTTTCAAGAAGCAGGCGTTAATGTTCTGCCGTGGCCAGATTTAATCCCATCGAACATGCGTGGGATATGATGGAGAGGAGACTATCCATCTATTCCGCGAAATTCGAGTTGTTTGGAATGAGATGCGACAACCAGACATCGATCATCTCATTTTATCAATGCCTAGACATATACAGGGGTGTATTCAGCTGCTGGGTCGCCCAACATATTATTAATTTTTTTCTTATTATTTTTCAATCAAATTTCGTGGGAATGTTATCTTGTCATTCTTGGTGTAAGACTACCTTATTGCCAAAAAATCGAGTTGAAGACATTATTTTCTCTGGGTGTAAAACTTCTAATGTTACTGAGTGTATAAGACCGCCCTCGCAAGGGCAAAGATAATTACCCCGTTTAGCTTCCTGCTGTGTATTGGCCTTGAGAATTTAGGATAAACACCTGTGCACAGCTCGTAAGAGTACAAAGGAGACTGACATCTAGATTCCCATTGACTCTCTTACACGGAAGCTGTTACGTCTAGCCGTTTAAATCAGAGTCGAGCTGTCCGCTGTCGATTCAGATCCAGAAAATTCCAGAGTCCAGTAAAACTAGGAAGTTCTGAAATAATATTGCAGGTACAAAGTAGTACAACAGAGCAGGTCAAACCGGTCCTTCTAGTGATACGATACTGTGGTCTCGATTCCTAAACCTGAATTCGATGCTTTCGACACTAGCACTTAGGATGCTTCACCAGAATGATTTTCAATGAAACTACAACTACTATCTCTAACACCTACGCCCTGTAAATACATTTTTCCATTGAATGGTCACGAACATTGTAGAACGGAACAGGTGAGAAGGGTTACTGAGGGGTATTCATTTCGCAAGAACTATGTTGATTAGAGCATCTTTATACATACTTCTATGTAAGTTCTTTTCAGTGTATTTTAGACCTGTAAGCTAGACTTTCATATTTTTGTGTCAATCAGTGGGCTCCAACCTTCGGTATAATGGCGGAGATGTAACTTACAGTTTCACCTGCAATTGCTTGCATTGGAGATGGTGCTGCTGCCTGAATTCTCTACAGTTTATTTCCTTCTATTCTTTAACTTCTTCAATGATATTTTGCGCCCTTGATTACATCTTCTGCGATAAAAGCGAAACCTGTCATAAACCCATGAACAGCACTCCAAGCCCCACTCCTCAATTATTACCTTATAGATCGGCACGGCTACTATGTGAAAAACCTAAAAAAACAACGAAACATCAACCACAGACTAGGTAGCTTTTAGTGTGCTTGCTATGATCGCTGTTCGCTGATGTTTGAGCAACACGTCCAGCTACAAAACGAGTTCACAACAAATGTACAACAGCTTGTGCTAAGTTAACATCTTGTAGAAAAATCTACGAAATGTAAAAAAAAACCTACAAAATGTAAAAAAAAGACGAAATGTCACTTTTTAAGATACGCAATACCTGTTCCTCTCAAACCAGTTCGTTCAAATATAAGCGAACTTTAGAGATCATAATCAAAACCACCGTAGTCGAAGACAAAATCATCAGAATCGATTCCTTCGAAACGACCAGAATGAATTCCTTCATTTCTCTATGGTGTAACTCCATTAGAGCGACTCGTTCACAATTGACCCAGCTACAGATTAGTTCAACTGAAACTGGAGCTGGATGCCAAACAATAACAATTTTTGATCAGTCTGCTTCATAGTTATTTTCTCTACCACACCAAGGCCTTGATACCCGACACAGAACGTCTTATCCACTTTCCGTCATCTGCAGCAGGATCGCTTTTTTATTGAGATAAGGGTAAAAAATGTATCGAATCTGCATTGGCCTGTGACAATCACAGCTTTTGTTCCATATCTACAGCCTTTACATTTTCAATGGCTTTCAATTAACTTCTTGGTCAGCATGCAGCCGTTTCTGATTAACCTTGCTTTCGCCATCTCTGTGTATTTAGTTATCTAGGGCGGTATTAACATCCACTTTGCTAACTCTCAGCATCGGCTCGGAATCAATTTGAGAGATGTCCCCTAGGACAGTTGGCCTCTTATCCTAACCTTAATTTGAGGACGCCTTGTATCTGACCATTTAGTCTCGTATTTTGGGCGTCCACGTAATATAAAGTAACCAGATACTCGGGAGCACTTACCCCATTTTCACGTATTATTGGAAAATGTGTGCTCTGATATTGGGTATTTCGGGCAAAACTTGCTTCGAATATTGTATATAAAGTTACACCAAGCTAATAGCGTATGCTTCCCGTTATTTGCTTTGCCTTTGGCTTTAGCTTTTACTATTCCACGGCTAAGAGCAAGCATCGGAATTACATGTATTTGAATAAATCATTCAGTGCATTGCATTTCTGAGAGATCTGATGCTTCAGCTGAACGATTATTGATATATTATTGTGTTTGAGGAAGCTGTGGTTCTAGTCGATAGGCGTCGACAAACTGCTTAGCAGCCGTCTTTAGTAGTTTCTGGCTTTCTACTAGCCTCACCTACAACCCCAAATGATGAAGTAATAATCACACTTTAGCCTTTATAATGAAGGAACGAATAATAAACCATTTCAACTGATACAGAAATCAGTTCAAGTTGAAACCTCCATTTTACGTAGGTTGTTATATTTGGTGCTTTCTGCTTATACATAAAAAATGAAAAAAGATATATTGAATCAAGAATATGTACTTCTTAGGGAAGGAGTGCAATATGAGCAGGATGGCAGGGGGACGTATGATAAAATCTTTAACAAAGTATTATTATTATGAGTTATAGTGCACCAGACGCTTGCATTTGGGAGGCTGAATTAAAGGACCATGGGTTAAAATAGTTTTGACTTTGAACGTCCTGGTCAAGAACAACGCAAAAAAACTCTCGTTTGGAAATATTTCTAGGATCGACCTTAAGATAAAACAAAAATATGGACGCAAAAGCAGCAGAAACTTCTCCTCTAAACCTTATTTCACGAGTATCCATCACGCTTTGAGGTGAACAGCTCATCACAAAAGCGACATCATTGTGTTGATTTGTATCGTTGGCAATAACGAATTTCGGGACCGTATTCAAAACTGTTGTTCATATATCAGGATTATAGTACACCTGGGATTTATTGATTACATGGTATGTCAATAGAACAGGCTGCGTAGTCATTTCCAGAATCAGTATATTTACCTGTTAAAATAATATAGACACGTGTTTCCGGTTTATTGTCCGTCATCAGTGTAAGGCAATTCATCAAAAGCACATAACTAATCACATCAAAGGCAATACATTGACCCAAAATTACTAAACCGACCCACCGCCATGCCATTTCCTCAATATGTAATAATGGCATCAATAAGCTGACTTGGTATATCCTTAAAAAAATTATAAACCACGTTTGCGTTTCCTTTGAATTTTTGCATAGTTCTCAACAGTTGGCCCATGCCATATTCACAAACACTGCATTGTCCCAGTTCTGCACATTCCATGACTTCCTGCAATATTTACTTACTTTTTTCTATTTTATTACTTGTTTGAATCACCTGAGTAATGTTCAGAACTAATAAGGGGAATCGAACTTCTATCAACTTGGTCATACACTGCCACATATTTTGAATTAAGTATATGGCCGTTTCATTGGCCTTTAATATAGTCAAAAACTGTTTATCTTATTTTATTCCTACCTGACTTGAAATGTAGTCATGGTTATTAGCAGCCCTTGTGCTTGTAGCGCTGCTCTCGTATACAAAGAAACTTTTTAAATAAAAGAGTTGTTAGCAAGTAAAAAATGAATCTGTAGCAAACAAAGAACCACAGCAAAATACGGGTCTGTCCACCTGGAGTTCACCGATGTCCTGTGACGATATGGGGAATTTTGAAATATTACTAGATAGCTAGCTGTCATTGTTCCGTGATGGATACTCGTGAAATAGTGAGTAGCAATTTACTTATGATCTTGAAATTGGCCTGTACCATAGCCTTGACAGGCAAATCAGTGTCGAGACAATCTCCTTTAACGGTTCTCTAAAACTCAAACTTTAGAAGTGGATAGAAAGGAACATTCCACGATCAGGCATGGATTCGATCTTTAATATCCCAGTCAAGGTCATCGTTAAGAGATCCGTAATGTTTCTGAAGAGAAGCCATAGATAAAAGCCTTAACGCAGCGGGTACTAGAATTTTTCCCGGGCTCACTGACGCTGACCATAACCTTGGAGGTCAAATCAAGATCAAGACAACTGTTTGAATTTTGTACTTCTGACCGCGGAAGTAGAACGGAGAACTTGACGTTCAGACAAGATCTTGAGCAAAAATTGCTTTAATTTTGATTTTACCACCAATGCCATAGTCATGATCAGGACCAGCAAATATTCAGAGGAAAGATGAGGGCTCTGCTGACTAAAGTCCGGAAACTTCCTATAGTATTTTAAGAAAGGGTTTTTTAAAACGACCTTGAATAGAAGGTTCAAGGTCAAAATAGATTTGTCTCAAGGTCATTTCTAAACGTAGTCTGTCGCTCGATCCATTTCTGGCGTCAAAACTATAGGGTCCCGTATGAAAAAATTTCCTGGGCCTTGATTTCACTTTCAAGGCCATTGTCAAGATCAAACTCAAGGATACCACTAAATAGCCAGGGTGGAATCATAACCGATTTTTGTTTATTATAAAATATATTGCCATTTCGGGTTTTTTGATCACCATGGATAGTCGAACAGGCGACTCTCGAGCAATACACTTATCTAGCAACAAAAACTTCTGAGCCGACCCTGGATGGAAGTGTTTGAAGCTCGCGAGTGAACGGTGGCCGTTGGAAAAAACGGACATTATGAACGGTTAGCAGTTTGCGGCTAAGAACAGAAGGGAGCACGAAGGCCTTTAAACTGTATCATTCGCGTGAAATGGCGGGCGTCCAAAGAGGCGTCCTACCGGTTTTGTATCACTGCGAACCCGCCTTTCCACCGGGAATTACAGCGCCTTTTTATTGCGAAATCTCCGGCTCAATAACCTTAACAGCTGGAAACTGTGAAATGAGCGAATGAGGCAAAGCAAGAGATGGAAAATGATGATGATTCACACAGGCAGAATTTACTAGGCAAAGCTCCGAGTCCTAGTGAATTTTAAAGCTATTCGGAAGATGCTCCATCTCATCTTTCTTGATTTGTGGAGTAGGTAGCTTTCCTTCCCTATAACCTCCTGGTTCCATCACACAGATCTCTATACTCTGTCTCTAGTATCTGTCTATTGAACAACTGCCCGCGTCACGGCAATCATTTTTCTATATTCTTCGTCATACTGAATAAAAGCGATAGATAGATAGTTTATTCTTTTCGGATCATAGATATGGTATAAGACTTGTCCGATGTACCTATATTACCTTATCACCAAAACTTGAAAATATCTTTAAGTATAAATACATAAATTTGTCCAAACATTAGCGGTTGGAATAGAAAGAATTAAAATTAGTGGAAAAACGACAAACAAAACACAAGCAAGGTGTATAAACATTAAGTAGTGTAAGAATAAGAAGATAAAGGTATCAGCACCCGAAAAAACACACACAGCTGTAGTCTCTTCCTTAATTATATGAACGGAGGTGCATCACTCGTACCGTGAAAGATATTTAACTACTGGATTTTTTACTATTGATGACAACTAATTGAATATCTTGATGCAGGCGAGGGCTGGTGATTGTTCGAATATTGCCAGTGTATGCGAAGGTGTCCTCAGATTCTGTTTTGCTCTAGTCTTGCAGTTCGTGTTGAAGTCATTGTTTTGCAAAAACTGTGTAGAGAGCGCATATTTATATACACGGAAGCGCTAACAAGTTATTAGGTTCAAATATTTCTGTACATGACTCTCCTTTGAATGTTATATATCAACCTCAACATACGTTTCTGCAAAATAAACGCTCTGGACGCGGTGCATGCTTTTCCCGAGGCGATGGTGTTATTCGACAGATGCGAATACACCATCGCGTTGTACACACCTATTACCGTTAATATGGGTACATTTGGCTGCAATGTCAATATAACATACATAGTAAGACATATTTAGTTTCCTGTATACACTGTCAACTTGTATCCAATTCAATCCTGCATTCAACTCTATATCCAAGAAGGGCGTAGAGTCTGAGCTAGTGCTGCTAATAAGACGGAGTCCTAGAGTAAAAGTGAACAACTGCCGTGTTATCAGTATCCATGATTATAGTCAACGCCAAACAAAGTGGCGTGCACGTCATCAAGGTGGGTGTGTTGAAAAATTTACATTGTTGCCAAACTTTTTGTAAAATAATAAAATTTATTATTTACATATCTAGGTTTATAAGCAATATTAACCTCAAATGAGAACAAAAATAATAGTATAATAAAATTATAGATCTGTACTTGCATAATCATTAAGTATGACAATTATTGATCAGATGACACTATGAAACTACCATATTTAATTGATAGCTTAAAGGTACTGAATAAAAATCCAAATGGGGTCCTCCAAATTTTATGCATGGTATTTATTTTACAGAATTCATACAGAAAAATGCATTCTAAAATTAGGTAAGCTACTGGTGTAAGCTTTTTCTGTACAATAAAGTTAGTCGGAGTTTCTTTCTTCAGCGCTGTCTGAATCTGAATCTTAATCACTCTCAAAGTTGATTATTAAAGGTTCGATGTCTGGTCGATCAAAAATTCGTTCTCTTTCATACCATTTAAAAATTTCTTGCTCAGTATGTCGAACACTATTTTTCCACATGTCTGGGGTAACTGTTTGTAGAGCCTCGTTCCACATATCCAAACAGTCTTTTTCACAGTTACCATCTCTACCAATATGTCTGTTATAGTAACCTTTTGCTATGCCCCAAATTAACTCAATAGGGTTAAATATACAATGGTAAGGAGGCAGACGAAGAACTTTGTGCCCATGTTGTTCCGCCAATTCATCAATCACGTATATTTTAGGTGGTTTGTTTCTAAAAAAGCAGTTATTTTAAGAATAGGAATAAACAAAAGAAATATAAACTGTCGACCAAAATATATATAATTAAGAAGCATTATGTACCGAGCAACAATACTCAATAGCTCTGTTTTAAACATTGTGTTTAAAAATGGTATGTTTTGATTTGTCAACCAGTCTTGGATATTTTTTTTTGTCCATGCATTGTTGGGCACTTTGTTCAATATCATGCTGTGATAAGGGGCGTTATCCAGTATAATCATAGATGGACTCTCCAATTTTTCTAATAACTGATGTTGAAACCATTTCAAAAAATTGTCCTGGTTCATCTCTCCATGGTAATCGCTCAATTTTGTTTTCGAAGAAAATATCGCTTCACTACCCTCAATAAACCCATTTTCATTTCCAGCATGTAATATAATGTATCTAAAATATATTAGTTTTAAATTTTATAGTGCAAATTGTGTAAAAGTACATACCTTTTACCATCTGTTTTGATAGCTTTCACGCTTTTTTGGTTTCCATTTTGCCAAGAGCGACCTATGGTCCCATTTTGAAATATCCAAGT